GCTGGAAGGGTTCAGTGAGTACGAGAAAATCCGGATATCTTGGAATAGTGCTCCGCATCAGGTGGGACAGAGGCTGTTCGCTCCAGTATCGTAGAGCCATGTGCCCATGGCTCTCAAATAAATGTTGTCAAGAATCTTAGTCAGGTTCTACCAGAATCGAAACTGTTCTGATATGACGAATTTAAGATGGCCACCATACGAAATTGACTATTCTGAATCTTCGCAGTTGTCAATGATATACGACTGGTTTGTTCTGAGATATTTAAGGATACAACTTGACGCGATCGTACCAACTACCCCTACATGTAACTTAACTGGAGCAGTCGACAACCCTGCTTCCTCCCATCCAAACTCAACCAAAGAGGATTCTCTACTGAAATATGAAGTCTAACTCCCAACCTGTCACACGTATCCCAAAGAAAGCCCTCGCGGGTCGCTTTAGCGGCCCGGCGCAACGCGCACCATCTAGTATATATATATATATATGAACTACCCTCTATTTAACGTCCATGATAATTTTTAAGTTTTTTAGACATCTAAAACTTTCCGGTAAAAACTGCTAATGCAGATTAAATTTTATTCTCAAGTACAATACGCTCGTTTGGCAAAATTGAGGAACAAAAATTGAAGCTCACGCTTCAATTTGTGCACACATACCTATACAGATTTTTTCGCATTTCATGATCTAACATAAGGGACCGCATCGACGCAGTCGCATGTTTGCATTGCATAGATGTAATCGCCTATAAATAGTAAGTGTCACGATGCAACCGCGCGTTTAACATACGCACTTTTGTATCGCTACTAATAATCGTCGTGTGTATCTGCTTATAGTAGGATATCTTCATTGTTTGTTATAATTATTAATTATTTTTTAACTCTTATTTTTCGTAATGCATCGTCACAGTGATCAAAGCAATAAAATAAAATACAGAAAAAGTCGCCTGACAGTAACTAATGTCGTGCACCTGTTCGACCACGCAGCACCACGTTAACGCGATAAAACCCTTTGTTGTATTGCCAATCGAGCGGTAACTTGTACGCAGCCTGAACATTTGCGACGATAGCCGATGATGGTCGGTTATACCTGCATGTACGAGTATTGTGCGAAGCTTCTTGACGACAGGAGCAGTGCAGCTACAGTATATGAGGCTTATCACGCTAGCGATTTGAAAGAAATGCGAACTAGCAGTCTCGCAGCGAACGCGCTCTCCAATCGCCAAGCGGCCAAGCTGAGCACGCGGTATCCCGTTGAAGTCGCTTGCAAACCGCAAGTGTGATAAAACTTTTAAGATCCCATTTTAGGCATGTCATGTAAGGTATTGGCATCGTGCATTGACTTACCAACAATTGGACGTCGGGACCGCACGTAGAGTAACTTCAAGTTTTGTCAGGTGTCAACGTCAATTATGGAAAAATATAGGAGAAATATCCGGAAAAATATTTATTTTTCTTTAAATATACAATGATATTTTTCCATGACCCAACGCTAGTCTTTGGTCATTCAATATCCATTGGTCTAAGTTGCGGGTTTTTGTAGTTACAAGTTTTTACAAAGAATTATTTTAAGACTTTATCTTGAAAATTCCACTAATTACGAATTCGAAGTTTTTTTTTCAAACTGATAGAAGATAATGTGATTTAAGTGAAAGTGAAAACATAAATATTGACTCCAGCCGCTTAAAAGACTAAGTACAAAATCCGAATAAGTGAAGTAAGTTATTTAAGAGAAATTGACAACATAATCTGTTAGAACTACAATGGAAAATATTACTGAGTATCCAGACGATTAAACGAAGACATGGCTCAAAGGACTTTTACCCAAGCTAAAACTTTTAATAAAAAAAGCATCTATCGTCTGCGGTCTTTGGTTTTTTTGACGTGACATCTTCTACGTTACGTAGTCTGTGATAGCGTTAGCGTCTAATAGTCTGTGGTGATATCTTTATAATTTGTGGTCTGTGGATGTGACGCTCGCTTGCCGCATGTTAATTTACAATTATCACAAATTATATTGAAAGTTTATTTATTGGAAGCATTTATGGTGCCGCTTGGAAACGAGTGTAATCGGAAAACAATTTTCCGAATGACAGTGTAATAATACCTCTGATACAATGTCTACTGATTTCTATATACGTTATTACGTTGGTCACAAAGGCAAATTTGGCCACGAATTTTTAGAATTTGAATTCCGACCTGACGGAAAGTTGCGGTATGCTAACAATTCTAATTACAAGAATGATACAATGATCCGCAAAGAGGCTTATGTGCACCCGTGCGTGATGGAAGAGCTAAAGAGGATTATCGTAGACTCTGAAATAATGCACGAAGATGACAGACTATGGCCGCAGCCGGATCGCGTCGGTAGACAGGTTAGTGCATCTTTCTTGACATATTTTTGGTCTATTCCTGCCTACTCCTGCAATTAGTAGAAACAAATTGTCAGAAAAAATATTTATACATTTTGATTTTTTAGCTTAAAGTAGTATAATTCCTGATTATGGTTATCCAATATTGTCCAAAATTATATATTTTAGGCTACAAATGTTAACATTCTTTATTAATATTTATACAACAAAGCAATGCTTTCAACAACTCACAAAATCTCAGTTAAATTTAGTTAAAGTTCAATGATTTTTCTTTGTTCCAGGAGTTGGAAATAGTAATTGGAGAGGAACATATCTCATTTACTACTTCAAAGACAGGTTCATTGGTAGATGTGAACCAGTCCCGTGACCCTGAGGGTCTCCGCTGCTTCTATTACCTTGTCCAGGACCTCAAGTGTCTAGTGTTTTCCTTAATCGGTCTTCACTTTAAAATTAAGCCTATATAAGTTAGTTCTACTGTATGTAATAAGAATAATAAAGTAATATTGACATATTTGCTGCAATAAGTTTCATTTATTTATAATAATTGGTGTGCATTCTACTATTTAAGGGTTCTTTATACATAGAACAAGAAATGTGGTTCAGTATCAAAAATAGTTCGACTCAAGTCAAAATAATATCCCATTCTGAAGAATGAAATTCCAGCCAGTTTACAATAGCATGCCGTTGCCTGTTTGTATATATTTTTCTTGGCGAAACCGCGATCTAAGTTATTGGCAGTGGCACTTTGCGTCATTGATTTTATCCCTATACTAATCCTCTTAAGATTGTATCATAACTACATTCGTGTGTCGGTGGTTTAGATAATCATCGCAACAAGTTACGTTCTATGGCATTTGTTGACAGCTTCGTTTCATTTCACACATCCTATTTTCCTTAAATTGCAGAAAATTTAATAAATCACATTATGAGGCATAAAGACATAATTTGAAATTCTAAAAATCTGTAAAGTAACAAAATTAATTAGATCTATGGAATAAAACTGGTTTTGTTGAGAAAAATTACAAAGTCTTTAATTTTCTTTTCTACATTTAGATAATTGCATGCTTTGAAACGTTTGTGGTGTCTATGTATTTATGTTTATTTTTGTATAGCTTTGCGCGTTGCGCGCGCATCGCATCTGCCTAACCGATTATGGCGGACAGGCAGTGAAGGATGTTTGTCGTCTTTTCTAAATCAGAAAGTATCGATAGGAGCCAATGGCATAAACCGGGTTTTTTGTAAAAATTGTACATTGTAAATAGTTCTATGTACATATAGTAATTATATTTGTGGTCGTTTTGTTTAGAAATTGTGTGAATAGTGTATTATTTTGAGTGTTTATTCAATTCAGTTTTCGAAGCCGACAAATGTCTAAACCCTGAAGTTAGTGCATCAGATAATCGTGTCAAGTTCTCAAGTTCTGATACTCTTACAAACTTCGTAGTTTTCGATTCATTAATTTGTTCTCTCCTTTGTGTTCGATCCGTCAATGAGACCGTTGCATCGCTTGCAATATTTTGGTTTCTCATAGCGGCTGTCATCGCGCTTCGATAAAACTGCGAACTGTCATTACAAAGACAAAAGGACTAATATAGTCGCTAAACGTTTTTGATGCTGAGATATTCTCTTCGTGTGTACCCCTTCTAACATGTAAAACAGTTCTGCTGTACATAGAGCGTCAATAGATCGGTCGTTGTGTTCCAGACATAAACAGGAAAATTGTGTTAAGGTTTCGAAGGACTGGAAAGTGAAACTGAATGCTCGAACCTCACGGTAGCCCAATGAAGTGGCCGGGAACTGGGGCGGAAGAAGAGGCGGGCGAAGCAGCACTGCAGAGCGCGCGCGCCTCTCAAGCCCGCACCCAGGATGATGCTGCTGTGCATTACGTGTTCCAGCGGGAACCGCAGGAGGCGGAGTTGCCCTCTTTAGCCTCAAAACAGCGCTGGGCTGTCGGCGACGACGCTATTGCTGAGGTTAGTAATACAGCTATTGTGTGCAGTGCATTTTTAATAATAAACAAATGTTCTATTGGTCAATGTAACCTCAAAGTGATAACCTTCAATATAAAATGTCTTTAAATTTGTATAGTGCATCTTTATATTTATACATGCAAGTTTTTTCTGCTTGTAAATAGACCAGTGGTAACTTGAGAACTGTATCAGATCAAGTGAACTGGCAGTGAGATTTGAAACTGTGATTGAATGAGTTCTTAGATACTGATTTGGATCTTATAATAAGCGAATAAATAAAAAAATATTAATATCTTATATACGTTTCTACATATGAAATAAGAATTTCTAGTCAGGTTGTAAAATGACATGTCAGAATCGCACTCTTTTACATTTTCATGTTATTATTTGTAAAAGCCACTGATAATGAAGCTTGTTATATTGAATAATTTAGAATATAGTTTGTGAACTTGTTGACCGATTTCTGATCCATCTAATTGAAAATTTCATTTCAGAATCAAGATAAATGGAAAAATCCTACTCCTATAAACATGAATAATATTCAACCTCAAGGACATGCGATGCAACTGAAACACAATCAGTCAAATCAGCAACAATTTATCAATCAGACCATTGCTTCATCTGTTGGTACACTAGCCATCAACCCTTCAGTTATTGGGAGTCATCCACCACATTTGACAACTAATATGGTTCATACACAGTTGGCACCATTGCAGAACCACACCCTTGGCAACAACCTTACGATTCAAAATAATGCTATGATGCTGCCACCTCTTCAGGGCATACAGAATGCACCCCAGCTTGGCCAACAAGGACTGTATGATATCCATCAACACCCTGGCACTCCAATGCAAGCTATGAATGGCATTGGTAAGGGAGCAGAACAACTTATGTACCTGAGCCAAGCTGGTATGCTTGCACCTGGAACTAACCAATTTCTACAACAAGGACAAAATCAACTTGGGCTGACACCCATTGCTGCAATCAGAAACCAGGTAAGTTTCGTATTGTTGTTAAATATTGTCAGTTACAAGGTCACATGTTCTTCAAAATACCTAAGTAACTAGGTAAATGTAGATTGTGTTAATGACAATGAGAAGCTTCTTTTTGAAGTTGGCATTTAAGGTATTTTGACACTTAAGTTATTTTATACTTAGTCTCACTATTACATTTTTGTACAAAGTAGCTTCTAACTATAAACTTGTGGTCTGCTGCTTATAGGCATTTGCAGTACTAAGAAATTGTTATGAACTTACTTGCACTTAGACAGCATTAAGGGAGGATCGTTTTGTGTGTCAATATTTATGGTATGTAACACGAAAGAAAACAAACACTGGAAGTGCTTTAAGCCTCGATTACTATCATAACTGATGTCGCCGAAACTCACACATTCTTAATTTGCAACACTGCAAAATCTTGATATTGATTGGTCGTACTTTCAATTTTAAAAAGAAAAACAAATTCTGGATTGTTAATATAATTTAAACTTTACCCTGTTGGCATATTGTTGAAAGTTCAATACCATCAATAACTATTATTACAAGTTACGACGTTTTGATATTATATTGAAATTTCAATCAATGTGCTTCCATCTAGTGGTTAATTGCTGAATGACAACAAATTGGAGTTATTACTTTAGTTCTCCAAAAAAAAAGCAACCATATTGCAGGGACATAAGCTTTACTTTCATTTCTTGTAAGAAACAAATTATTTCGATTAACAGAAAATTGCAAATTTATTAACATAAGATAAGATTTTCCGATAATATGAAATACCACCAAAAGTAATATTTTTGGTGCGGCTATTGGCCTACCAACAAATGGACGTCAGATGTAATACACAAACCATGAAAAAAGTTTCCAAAAGTTAATCAATACAAATGTAGTGCAAGCAACAAAATATATAAAAAACTAAAACATTTAATTTAAATTGTAACGTCATTGCAGCACTGCCTAATTTTGCTTGCAACAATTTAAGGGGCCAAAAACACTATATGTTTAGCTTTGACTGAAAATTACTTGAACACAAGAGTAGCGGAGCAGCCTCTATTGAACATAATAATTAATTTTTATATAAATAAATAACGCGCACACAATCATAACCGCACGAGAGAAACCCTGTATCGCGGCTGCCATGGACACACACACATAGACAACCACAAATTACACCCAAACTCACGAGAGAAATAAATGTAGGCCATACAAATATTTCTCCTGGCACGGGAATCGAACCCGAGACCTCTTGCGTGGCAGTCTAGCATGGTAACTGTTCAGCCACGGAGGTAGTTATATATTATTATGTTGAATTTTGTACAAATTCACTTAAAGAAATAATAAAGAATTGGGCAGATTTATTTTACTTATAGCCTTTATTGCCGATAACTTATCTAACACATTGTAGGACATGTGTACTTATTATAATTTACTTATTTATTGGAAATGAAACTATTTTTCCGGATTTAAATCGCGTATATTTGTTTTTTCAAACAAACCGACGTTTCGGGCCCTTTACAGGTCCCATGGTCACGGTTGACTGAGGTGGTACAGTCTTCAACCAGTTATGTCTAATATTGATGCAAACCACCCTATTTTTTCACTATAGTTACAATAGTTATTAATTAAATACCTTATTTTTAATTTTACAAAGAAAACATTCCAATTTACCCTATATTAAGTTTTACAAGTTATTTTATTGAATGAATTTTTATTAAGTTCAATTTATTATTAATTATTAATAGAAATTAGAATAAATTAAAACATATTAATTAGTACTGCAGTCTTATGTCTGTTTGGGATTTTTCATTAGAGGAAATACTGGATCCCAAACTGGTGGTACGGAGAAACCATCTTCCCTGTTGAAATTAGGATGTTTTTTAATTTCAATGGCCTCTCGCAACATCCTGGGTAGATAACGGACTTCTTTTGCAAGGACCTGGGGTTTGTCAAACTTCATTGACTGTGTAGGTTTATCCATGACATGCTCGCAGACTGCAGACTTGTTTACGCGATGGTATTTGACATCATCTATATGTTCTTTGACGCGGGTACAAATACTTCGCTTTGTTTGTCCAATATAAGAGAGACCGCACTCACAGTCAAGCTTGTAAACTCCTGCATCCTGTAATGGAATGTTACATTTCACGGGTCTCAGGAACTGAGAAATCTTCCTCAGGGGCTTGAAATAGGATGCGCGCCTGAGGACTCTTCCGATCTTGTCTGTAACACCTCTCACGTAAGATAAGATGGCAGGTCTTCGCTCGACTGTTGGTGGTTTCACACGGGGCCTGTGGCATTGCCGTGGAATCTTCAACTTATTCGCATGTAGGACTTGCTTTATATGCTGAAGTTCCCCTGCCAGATGATTACTGTCGCAGACACCATGTGCTCTCTGAAACAAAGATTTGTCCACGGTAGCTAACTGGCTAGGATGGTGATGGGAATTACCATTGAGATACCTATCTGTATGGGTTTTCTTTCGAAATACAGTATGGCCTAAGGTGTTATTAGGATTTCTTTTAATTAAAACATCTAAAAAAGCTAAAGTACCACAATTCTCTTGTTCCATAGTAAATTGGATCTTAGTACTAAAAGAATTAACATGTTCCAAGAAAGAAGGTATGCTATCTTTAGGTAATATTGTGAAAGTATCATTAACGTACCGTTTGAAAATCTTCGGCCTAGCTGGGGCCATGGGTAAAACTCGCTCCTTGAAGTCTTCCATGAAAATATCTAATGTAATGTAAAACTTAATATAGTGTAAATTGGAATGTTTTCTTTGTAAAATTAAAAATAAGGTATTTAATTAATAACTATTGTAACTATAGTGAAAAAATAGGGTGGTTTGCGTCAATATTAGACATAACTGGTTGAAGACTGTACCACCTCAGTCAACCGTGACCATGGGACCTGTAAAGGGCCCGAAACGTCGCTTTGTTTGAAAAAACAAATATACGCGATTTAAATCCGGAAAAATAGTTTAATTTCCTATGTGTAACAATCGGGAAAACCAAAAACTCGATATTACTTATTTATTATTACTCAATTTGTTTACTCGGTACCTTCAGCTTGTCCTAAGACATAGCCCTCTTCCAGAGATTTCCATTTCTTAGAGAGAAATATTTGTCTTTTACTGTTTGCCTCCATGCTCCTCCATTAACATATTTAAAATTGTCTTCTCGTCTAAAGTATGGTCTCCCCTTCTTCCTTTTTCCCTCTCTTGGGTACCATTCCACAAAATCCCTTGTCCATTTATCAATTTTTTCTCTCATCATGTGTCCTTTTCAACGCCACTTTTGCTGTTTTATTATGTGTGGGACTTTTTTTAGTCTTTGATTTGCTTTTAATTGTGGTCAGTTTTACTTTATCTTTCAATTTCATGTTGAGCACACTTCTTTCCATACTATTCTGACAAACATCAAGTTTTTTGTAATGTTTTAGTAAGTGACCATGTCTGGCATCCATGTGTGGTTAACAGTACAATGCACATATTTATTACTTTGAACTTTTATTTTGTCAATCAATTCCTTTTGATTTCAGGACTTCTTTGAGTGACCAGAATTTCCTCCACGAATTTGTGACTCTTCTTTCAATTTCTTTGTCTCATATTCAATTATATTTCCAGTTATTGCAACCAATTCTTTAATATTGTTTGTCATCAATTTCGTTTTGCTGGTGTTCATAGTGAGTCCTACTTTTTTTGCTTTCCATGTCCAATTCTTGAAGCATAGTTTGTCAGTATTTTTGGGTTTTTGGCCAAGAGTATAAGATCATCTGCGAATCTCAAGTGGTTAAGGTGTAGGTACTCCATCTGTACTCAAGTCATATTCCTCCCAAACCAGATGTCTAAATATACTTTCCAAGACAGCAGCGAATATTTTGGGCGATAGAGGATCCCCCCGACGGACACCCTTTCTGACTTGGAGTTCTTCTCCTGTAGTCTCTAGCTGTATTTTTGCTTTACTTTTTTTGTATATTTGTTGGATTAGTCTCGTATATTTCTTTTGTACTCCTTGTTCACTGAGGGATTCCCAGACTTTAATTTGTTTAAGTGAATCAAAGGCCTTATAGTAATCTATAAATGCGTAGTATTGTTGACCGTACTCATTAAATTTTTCTATTATTTGTTTTATTACAAGAATATGATCTGTGGTTGAGAAGTTCTTTCGGAACCCGGCTTGTTCTCTGGGCTGATTTTCGTCAAGGGCCTCTGTCACGCGTACCAATATTAATTTTGAAAAAACTTTGTATATGTTAGTCATTAGACTAATGGGCCGGTAATTATTTATCTGGGTTTTATCGCCTTTTTTGTGAAGTGTGTTTGTGGTTTTGGTTTTGGTCCCTTAGTCTGGAATGACCTCTTTATCTAAAATGTCAAGCAGATCTGTCAGATAGTCTAGTATAGTATCAAGAGTACCTTTTAATAGCTCATTAGTGATGATATCCTCTCCAGGAGCTTTATTATTTTTTTGAGTTAAAACAGCCTTTTGTACTTCGCTCTTAAGGAACTTGGGAATAGTTTCTCCGACATCTTCTAAGTTCACCATATCTACATTTCATCGTCTCATCGTCGTCGTAAAGATCCTTATAAAATTTAGTAGCAATGTCCATAATATTCACGCGCTTCGTGGTTTGTATTTGTTTGTTGTCTTTGAAAGATGGTATCCATGTTTTTCCTTCTGCAAGTTCTTTTATAGCTTTTTTGACACTTCCTGTTTTTTCTATATAATCTTTGATTTTTTCAATTCTTGTCTTACGTCTGGATTTCCTTATGCTTTCATTTACATTTTTGCTTATTTGAGTAATTTCAATACTATTGTTTTTCCTATCTTGAAGTAGTTGCTGTCTTTGTTTAATTAAGTTTCTAGCTTTTTCTCCTATCTTATCTTTATTTTTCGGAATATGTTTAAATTTATTATTGATATTTGTAAGTTGTTTCTCGAAAAAATCGTATTTTTCTGGAATACTTTTGAAGTTCTTCATTTTGCAAAGTTCTTTAC